AAATATGTCCATGTATAAAAAAATTAGCTCTAAATTCCTTCGTTTGTGATTTGTGGATTTTTTTTTTATTTTTTAATAAAAAAAACTAACAAGAAAGAATTGAAACTAAATTGAACTTTTTTGAAAAGAACCTGAAAACGATGAACTTGTGTGAACTAACTCCGTTGGGGTACTTCGACGGGTGATACTTGAAGAAAAAATAAATTTACTATAATTCTTCCCAAGAATAATACTAAATATGATACCAATTGATAGAGAAGTGGCAACGAATGATTGAACGTTGTTCTTGTTGAGAAATCAAATCTAGAAAGCTCTAGGCTTGATGGAGAAAATGATGGGATAAGATGGATTGATGTGGGTGGTGGGTAGAGTTTTGAATTGGGTTTAGATGTTGGAATTAAGACAATAAAACAAAGATTAAGACAATGGAAAATAAGGGCAATAAAGTAGATGAAGAAACAAAGATAAGGAATAAACGGGGGTAATAGAATTGAACAAAAAACAAAACATGTAATAAAGAATCAAACTTATCTCCCTTTAAGCTAGATGAACAACGGGCTTTGGATGTTGATTTTGATGGATGAATGCTCATTGGAAAGATAATGATTCAAGGATCATGATGGTGAAAACATAATTAAGATCAGATGGTTAGATTGATGGGAAAATTGATTTGAAATTTACCCTCGATAGGTATGATAATAACGCAAACCCTAGAATAGGTATGCTGGTGGCATGATGATGATGCATGGAAGAAGATGATGATGATGAATGATGGAAATAGATGGATAAGTGTTCTATCAAACCCTTCTAGTCATAATGAAAAGGCAAACTCAGTAATACGACTCTAACCAACCCTCCTAATTGTAATGAATAGACAAACTAGAGTGTGAAGATCTATCTCTTAAGAACTTGAAAGAACTATAAAAAAATAATCTTCGAAGGCACAAGACTATTAGCTCTTGCAAAAATGAACTCTCGTTGTATTGAATATAAGAAAAGAATTGGTGATTACAATGATGAAAGGAGCCTCATATATATATATATAAGGTTTGAGGAGTCTTTTTTGTAACATAAATGAAGAATAAAATAACAATAATATTAAAAAAAACTATCCTAAATCCTTGTGATGTGAGCGACATGAATGAGGACCCTTGATAAGGCTTTGATCCGATGGTGTAGATAAAAGTAGGCGTGATGAGATTCTTGAAACTTGATGGAAGGTTCATATTATCCCTTTAGAAGTTGTATGGGCGACATAGTGCGAAAGGGAGTCTTGATAGACATCCATGTTTATGATAAGGAAGGGGAAAGAATTTGATAAGTTATTAATGGCATGTGATATGTTGCTGACGTGATAAGCATGGGGGAGGGTGATAAGCTATCAGGGTTATATTCAATGACCTATTTACCCTTATCCTAATAAAATGAAGTAAATAATATTAAAATCCTAAAATAATGATTTATCCCAAGATTTATAAATTTTGCACTGGGTACTTTACAAGTTATGGGCTTAAGGGGGTTTAAACTCATTTCTAGGCATATCTTCTTGGGTCTTGTAGTTAGGCCCAGAAGTAACTTAATTTGTTGTGATCCAAATTGATGTGGGAGGAAGGATGATTGAGTTTTCTTCCTTGAATTCTTTAAGATCCATGTGGGCATGTAGGCCTTTACTGAAGAACGCATGGACTGCAGTCTAGAGTTAATCTTTATGTAGTTTGGCTCGTCCTCTTGTGATTGGGCCTAGTGGTAAGGTGAGCCCATCCTTTGGGCATGTAATGCATGTATCACCTCTAAACTTAAATTTTTTGATTTTGTATATTGGTTGCCTATTTTGTTTTATTCATGCATGAGTTTTTGAACATAAATGATTATATGTTGTTTTTTCAATTTCATGTATGTTAAAATGTGTTATCGTGGACATTTTAAAGATTTAATGATTTTTAATTTTTGTTTATCATAATGATTTTTGGTCAAATATGTTTTTAATGTTTTGTTTTTACAAACTTTTATTTTTTACCTCAAATTTAAATATTTATAAATTTTTTTATTGCAAATGATTTCTCCCTAACAATTGATATAAATTTTTCAAATGCATAACATTTTTTTAGATAGCTTTATGAATATAAACTTTAATGTCTCATGTTAATATTGTAAAAAGTAGTATAGACTTGGATTTATTGAATTTTATGTGTTACTAACATGTTTGTTCATTTTTGTTGAAATTCAATAATTTTTAAGTGTCAAGCTTTTAGAGCCAAATTCTTTTTTGTAATGCATTTGTTGAGGGGGAGCTTTGAATTTTCAAATGATTTTTATGTTAAAATTTCTACTTACTCTCCATTGTTATTTTTGAACCCAAATGTTTGAATTATTTTTTATATAACAAAAGGGGAGAAATATAGATCTGAAAAATTCAATTTCAAAAATGGAAAAGGGGGAGATTCAATATTTTCCAAAATATTTCTCTTTTTCATTAAATATTTTATTAAGGGGGAGTTTTCCAAAAGATTATTTTTCAAAGGCTTTGTTAATTAAAAGGGAGAAGATTCTTGAACCTATTTTGATATAACAAATTTAAGGGCAAAATATTTTGGACCTAATTGAATTTATTTAATTTTTTTAAAAATAATTCAAATTCCATAAAACTTGAATTTAAACACAAAACTGATTTTCTGGGTAAGCAGTATTGATATCGTTCTTATATTATCGATACAGCATGAACAATATCGATATTATTCTTTCAATATCGATACCAAAGAGAATAAGAGTATCAATACTCTCATGACAATACCAATATCGCCTTGTGTTTTCAAATGTGTTCAGATTCCAGTATGCAAAAATGGTATCGATACCCAAAGGAGTATCAATACTGTTGTATAGCAGTATCGATACCATACCATCAGTATCAATACTCAATCAACCCAATAGTAAAAAACAACTAGTTTATTACAGGCAATACCGATACTCATCACCCAAGTACCGATACTCCCTGGTCTAGGCAATTTTATTTTACAGAAAATTAGTCTCCAACGGCTAGAAACTGTCACAAACATATTCTAACATATAAAAACATGTTGAAAACTTGAAGAAGGCTACACAACACCTATCCAAGCATTGATTATCAAGAGAAAAGTTTTTTCACTCTTTATCTTTCTTTTCTCTTATACATAGTGTTTTAGTGAACTTAAATTGTAAGCTCCTACTTTTTAGAGATTTTCTCGTTTACATTTCTTTATCCTGATGTAGAAGGGGTTTTGGTTCTATCATAGCTATTGAAAAGACAGAGATTTGTAAATGTTACTCTTGAGCCTAGGAAAAAGAAGAACAAATTAGTAAATTTGTCAGATATCCTTAGTGTGGAGCTAAGGTAATGGATTTAGACTTGGTTTAGAAGTCGAACCACTCTAATTCGTTATGCAAATTTCCTATCAGTTCTCTCCATAATCACTAAATTTTTTATTTGGTCAGTTCACCCTATCTTGGCACATTTTCGGTTGATCGATAGAGCTACGAAAATCCCAACATAAATGATTTTGAGGTAAATTACGCTTTTAGTATCTAAACTTTCAGTTTTTGTTCATTTAATATCTAAACTTTTTAATTTTTTCAAAATCATGCCTAACATTTAGTTCATATTTCATTTCAGTATTAGTTATTATTTCATTTCAGTACACATGTCTTAAAAACTTAATGCTTTTAGTACCAAAACTATCAATTTTGATATATTTTAGTACCTAAACTTTAAAAAAATTCAAAATTAACGTTAAGTTTTTAACAAATGTACAAAAATAGAACAAAAACTAAATTTTAGATATGATTTTGAAAAAAAAAATTAAACATTTAGATACTAAAATGAATCAAAATTAATAGTTTAGATACTAAACAAGTAATTTACCCATGATTTTAGTTAGTTCTTGATATACAATAAGCAACGAAAAAAACTTATTTTTAGATGAAAAATGGTTTTTAGATATATTTCTAACTCAAACGTAAAAGCTTGAATATTTCTCAACAATAAATTAATTTTAATTATTTAATTGATATTTTTTTAAGTTTAAATGCACTATTGCCCCCTGAACTATATTATTTGTCTAAAGTTGCCCCCAAAATCTTTTTCAAGACGTTTTATCTCCTTAACTTTTAATCGTTAACCCGTTTACCCCATACCGTTAGCTCCGATAAAAATAAAATTTGATAACCAATCAAAATATGCCACATCATCTTTTTATTTTATTTTATTTGAATACATGCAAATCAATTTAAAAATAAAACATATAATGTGCCAAAGTTGCCCTTCTTTTCTCCACCTTCGCAGTCAACACCACCCTCCCTTTCTTCACCTTCTTTTGCCCACCTCCTTGCACCATAACTCAGAGTGGCGAGGTATTAAAAAAAATTAAACTTTAGGTATGATATTAAAAAACTAAAAAGTTTAGATATTAAAATGGATTGAAATTGATAGTTTAAGTATTAAATACTTAATTTATACCTTTTTGTTTTATATACTTTAATTTACTCCATTATTATGTTAGAGTATGCATCCACTCCCTTGACTCTTTTCAAACAAATTTATAAACCTTTTCTGAAATTTCTGAAATTTGAAGGTTGACCGATTACTTTTCTTAATCTTCCCTTGGCTGCGTTTCACCCCACAGTTCTCTTTATGTCTTTTCCTTAATTTTCTGAATTTTGTATGTACCAATTTCTTAATATTCCAAATGAAAATGGCCCCTCCTGCATACTTTTCCAATCTCTCATCGACCAGACAATTCTTCCCTCTCTTTCGCTATCGGTACAACAACAACACGCCATTTTTTTAAAGCAATTCACCTCCGAGAGTTCATATACTTTCTTTCTTCTTTTTATTAATTGTATGCTACTTTTCAAACCCTGGGGGGTCTCTTGGCTTCATTTTGACCATTTTCCCATGGCCTTAAATGAAGAGTTCATTCAACTGATATCGATATGAAAGAGGATCCAAAAGGGACTGATTGTTAGCTATGGATGCTGTGTTCCAGCTCGATGATGTATCAAGAGCTGAGTATCTGCAGTTACTCATGCACTCAACTGGCTGCACATACATTTGCCTTTGGTCTTACTCGGTTCAAGCAAAGTACCTTCATTTACCCTACGCTTTGCCTATATTTCTTTAGTTTTCATGATTTGGGGTTTAGGGTTTCTTTGTTGTAGCAGCTGTTTGATTGGTTTTGATGGATGTTATGCTCAAGAAAACACTCAGCCAGCTGCTTTGGGTCTCTTCGTTCAATACCGGCAATCGGTATTCCCTCTTGAAAGTGATCGGTATGGCTGAAATTTTCTCTTTTTGTTTTACCAGATTTGTTCTACTTATTAAAGTATGTGTTGTTTGCATTACAGTAGCCTTGTTCCAGGTTTTGCCTTCATGCACAATTTTCCCTACATTGAACTAGGGGAACCCCGGCTTCAAAATCAAGCATCCGACCAGACACAGCAACTCTTTTATCAGGTAATTAAACATTCATCAATGGAGAAACATTGATGTTACTGAATTGTTTTTCTTTTCTGAACTATAACTACTAACCTGATATCTGTCTTTATTGCAGGAAGCAGGAATTAAGGTTTGTTGTTAGATCTCGTTTGTCCAAACTTAAACCTTAGAAGGGTTTCGTTTTGTCTGTTATGTTGTTTTGGTATATTGCAGAGGGCTGCGTTCATGGGATGCAGGACCGGGGAGATTGAGTTAGGCTCCTCCATTGTTGTTCAAGTAAGAAAGTTCATCTCTGTTTATCGAAAAACATCAATCTAAACATGTATGTATGCCCGTGTGTGTAAATATATATGTGTATGTATATATATAGTTTGTCACTGAACATAATTACATGTTCATGATAGCTAAATATGCAGACGGAGCTGAGAAGGTTTTTCCCAGAAGACTTTTCAAGGCAATTATCTCATGTAGGGAATCCAATTCCTACTGACCCGAACCCTAACCTGAACCGACCCTCTTCGTCTTCCTCGTCATTAAGGTCACTATCGACCGGTAGTTCGACACCGATCGAAACATCATTGCAACCAATGTCTTCTTCACCGTTAATCGTGTATCCATGCCAACAAGCCATGCAGGCGTTAACTCAAATGCAAAGCAACATTCAGCTTCCCATACTAGAAAGTGAAAATGCGGTCATAACCAGAGCAATACTCGCTGTTATAACCTCTTCAACATCCACTGATCCTCCCCAAGAAACTCAAAAATCTCCTTACAACATCCAACTAAACCCAAAAGCCACCGCGTTCGAACGTTATTCCCCGACGACTATGTTGGCGAGGACGAGTTCACGTGCCCAAAGTCTATTAAAACGAGCCATTTTGTTTTATAGGATGTTCACTTTCGTGAAAAGTGGTGGACAACCAATGCGAAGACGTCCCACCGGCAACCAATTGCAACGTATGATGTCGGAACGGAGAAGGCGAGAGAGGCTAAATGAACATTTCAATGCATTACACTCTCTTCTTCCTCTTGGCACCAAGGTACCGTATATATATCATTGTTCCAAAATTTACATATTGAGTATCAATAATGAATTAATATTATGCATCATGACATGTAGACAGACAAAGTATCGGTGCTCACTAGGTCTAGGGAATACTTGACTTCATTGAAAGCTCAAATTGCTGAGCTTAGTAGGCAAAACCAGTTATTACAGGCTCGGCTATTGCCTGCTGCTACAGAAGCTAGTGGTTTGTCGAATGAGACGTCAAGTGTTCTACGTATACCCGTATCCGAATCGAGTGAGAGGTTAAATGTTCGACTTATACCAGTACCCGAGTCGACGTCCGAGCAACGGATGGTCGACTTGAGAATCGGTATCAGAGGAGAATGGACGGTAGAGAATTTCTTAATGCGGCTGCTGGAATTCTTGAAGGATACAAATGTGAGCTTGACGTCCATTGAAGCCAACACCCAGATATCAGAACTAGGCTCAGTTAATCATGTCAACTTGAGACTCAGAATTGAGGTATGCAAATCAAGCTTTTTCAATGTTTTATCTGCTTGAGAAAATTTTGCATTTGAGTGATGAAATAGATATATAGCATAACCGGTAACGAAAGGGAGAAACAAAAAAACCGAACCCTAATATTTGAGAAATTATTAGATGGATCTTGCTAACCACGTCATTTGTGATCTCAACCAATAAGATTCATCAATCTCAAAGTAACTTCTAAACAACTACTCATTCTTTTTTTACATGTAAGACAAATGAGGTGAATCGAATCCATCTAATAATTTTTTTTAATATTTAGACAATTTATAGTTCATAAATTTAAGTTCTCTAAACCAAATAGAATTCTATTTTTTATTTAATTTATAAGTAATTTTTTGATAACATAAAGTTCGGAATTTTCTATTTTATATAGTGAAAATAACTTTTGAGATATAATATAAAAAAAATTTAGAAATAGAAATAAAAAATAATAAGAGCAGAAACTATAATATTTTATTTTAATTTTTTGGGCATTATTTTTATGTTAATATAAGATTGTAATTATTTTGATGTAAGTAATTCATAAAAAATAATAATATTAATATTATAAGATTATTTCATGATGGGAAATTACTAGGAAAGTATAATGAAAAAATGGTGTCAACTTAATTACTAGGAAATTATTTGTCATTTGTAGGGCAACGAGTGGGATGAAACCTCCTTCCAGGAAGCAGTGAGAAGACTAGTTGCTGACATGGCACAGTGATTTCATGTATTATTATTTTTAAATAATTATAGTAACAATTTTGATAAGGAAATATGAGTTATATATATAACTAAATCAATTACGCTTTGAATACCAGTAAATCAATTTGCACCAACCTTTCCTTAATTGAAAAGGGTCCGTAGAGAGAGAGGCGGCGCTTTTGACTAAAATTTTCTTTACACAGAAAATGCAGCTATGCCTTAATCGAGAATGTTTAAAGAAAGGCCGTTTAATATAAGATTAAAAAATATGTTATCAAAAATATTAATATTTTGGTATTTAAAATATTATTTTTTATTAGAAATATTAATATCGGATGTTATTTAAATTGTTATTTTTTTACTGAAAATTTTAATATCAAAAATATTCAGTTCATGTTGTGAAATTAATATATCTTATAAAAAAAATAATATTTTAAGTAAATGCTCTACTAAAAAATATTAAAAAAATATTAACATATTTTTTTATATATTTTTTTAGCTTTATATTAAACTGTGATACAATAAAACTACCCACCTTAATTCTTCCAGCTGGCTTACCTTTAAACCTCACAAATAATGGAGTCGGAATAATTAATTACTAAAATAACTAAAATTTTATAACGCACATTGCATGTAGCAAAATATTATTAAAACGGCAAATTAAAATATATCATTAATAAAATTATTTTTGTTATTTAAATATAAAAAGTATAATGATTTATTAATTATTTATTATTTATTAAAAATATTAATTAATTTAAAAAATTAATTTATTTAAAATTAAAATATCTAAATTTTTTATATATTTAGGCTTTTTTCCCAAATTAACCAACAACCACCATCGGTCCATCACCACCGCGGTCCCCATCGCATTTCGCTGGAAAATCATTATATAAAATTCAGGAGTCAGACCGATCGAAAATAAGTCTTGCTCCACCCAATGTCGTCCAGATCGCCGTCGCTCAGAACCGACAGTCGCGAACGATACTGCTTCCGTTTGCATCGCTAGCCTCCCGGTCATTTTCTCTTGTTTTAAACGCGTGTAGACGGTCGGAGAACCATCCACGACCGTCGTCCATACCAGCCGGACCGAATTCGACCACCACTGCTCGTTCACCTGAAATCTCGATTTGAATCTCCTGTTTGTCGGCCGTCAATTGAGTAAACCCAGATTTGAAATTTGTGTATTAATTCGTTTGATCAAATTACTTTCCAAGCCCCTTATTTTTGTTTTATTTTCGTATGGTCAAATTACAGAAATAACCCCCCATATTTCCCCTGATTATATTATGGACTGGACTAAATTACTTGAAAGCCCCCATACTTCTATTTTAATTTAAATGGCTAAATTTTATTCAAACTCCTATACTTTCCTATGTTTATATTTCAGACATATAAGTTTTAATTCCTTAATAATTCTGACTCATTTTGATTTTGATAATTAATTTCGAATTTATTTTTTAATTTTAATTAACAATAACACTAATATTTTATTTTTTTCATTCATTTTTATTAGTATTCATTTTATATCATTTGATATTAATTGTTATCATTAATCTTGTTAATTTGATGTTTAATTTTAACTTGATATTAATTGTGATTATTTGAATTGTGATAATATTAATTTTGATGCTTAATTTAACTTGGTATCCATTTTTATCATTGCTTTTGATTTAGAATTGATTTTGATCAAATAAATTTTAACTTTGGTTTTATTAACTATTTGAACTAGTTAATGATCACAATTAATATCAATTTAAAATTTAAAATTAAAATTAATACTAATAAAAATTAATGGTTAGTCCAAAATTTTTAGATTCAAATAATCACAATTAATATCAAGTTAAAATTAAGCATCAAGTTGTCAATATTAATGATAACAATTAATATCAATTGATATGAAATGAATACTAATAAAAATGAGTGAAAAAAATAAAATATTAATATTATTTTTTATTAAAATTAATTAATAAAATTGAAATTAATTATCAAAATCAAAATAAGTCAAAATTATTAAGGAATTAAAACTTACAAGTATGAAATGTAAACATGGGAAAGTATAGTGGTTTGCATAAAATTTGACCAATTTAAATTAAAATAAAAGTAGGAGGGACTTTCAAGTAATTTAGCCCCGAATATAATAACAAGAGAAAATAACTTTAGTGACCGAAAATGCCTTATAATATATGATTTTAACCAACTTTTTTTGGATTTGCGAAAATGAGCAACAAATTCGCAACGCAGACTCCAATTTCGCAACGCGAATTTCCCAGATTCGCAACTCAGTTTTGAAATTTGCAACTCGAATTTCTTTTCTGCAACGCGGTTTTCCAAATTCGCAACTCAGTTTCTGCAATTGCAACGCGAATTTCTTTCTCGTAATGAGATTTTCCAAATTCGCAACGCGATTTCCAAATTCGCAACACGGAATTTCAAATTCGCAACTTGATTTCTGAATTCGCAACGCGAATTTCTTTTTCGCAACACAAGTTTCCTTTTCGCAACAAGATTTTCTAATTCGCAACTCGAATTTTGTTTTCGCAACTCGATTTTCGAATTTGCAACACGAATTTTAATTTCGCAACAGCTTTTATTTTCGTAACATAAATGTTTTGGTATATAAACTACGCAGCAGTAGCAACTCATAACCTAAATCCCTAAATCGCAACTCATCCCATCTCCATCTCTCAATCTCTCCGGCGACATCCGTTCCTATATCCAACGACATCCTTCCCCGTCTCTAATTTTTTTTTTACATAATTTTATTTCTATATAATTTTTCTCCAATGATTTCTCTCCCAAATTATCAACTATCAACTTAATAAATGTATGTTTTTCTCTAAGTTAGTGATGATATCTAGTTTATAGCTCGTTTGTTTAGTAAATTAATTTACAATTTGTAGAATGAAATCATCTAATGTTGATCATGTTTGGATAGATTTGTGTTTTGGAGGGTCATGGGAGAATGTTAATGGTGTTTTACAATATATGCCTTTACCCATGAATCTTCAACTAAAACTGTCATTAAAAAAGTTAACTTATGAAACTCTAATGTTACGTGTTATAAAGAAATTGAATTTAGAGCCTCTAAGTGGATTTAGGCTATCTTATCAGAGAAAAAATAAAATTTATTTGTTAACCGACAATGAAGATGTTGAACGATTCATTGATTACATTAGTGTTTCACAAGATGATGTTACATTGTATGTTGTTGAACCTAGAAGTAGTGAAGTTGAGTCAGTAGGGGGTAGTAATCAACTAAGTGCTTCAACCCCAATTTATGGTGCTCACAATGTACAACGTTGTTATCAACCTCAAAATTTAATGGTTCCACCACAATTTCATCACCAAGAAAATTTTGTTTCACCACATTTCTAATGCCAAACACAATATCAAACACAATCTCAAAACCCACAACCTTTCCCTAATCCAAATCTCAATCAACTTTTAGCACCAAATTTTGATTTTCGTATTGACCAGTTAGACAATGATGAGCCAACAAGAAAAATTGTGAGTACTAGTTAGTATTCGAAATTTGATCTTGGTCAATACCCGGACTTTTATCTTGGTCAATACTCGGATTTTGATGATGTTTCAAAAGAAGAAACAGACCCTGCGTGTAATGATTTTAATATTGGTCAATACCCAAATTTTGATGATGAAACAGCCGCTGCTGAGGAAGATGTTGTTGATGATAATGAGTAGTTACGACTGTGAATGGACATGTTGAACATCCATTATGTAATTCATATAACCCTGAAGAAGAAAAAGAAGAAGAATAAGTCCCCGAAGAAAAGAAAAAGAAGAAAATGCCACGGGAGTATAACTGGAATATGCCAGAATTACTTCAGATACTGGAAGAAGAGTTGGTAAAGATAGCAGTTGATTGTTACACAAAAGTTATTCGCATCAAGAAAAATGATTGTTTTGATACAAAGGAAGACTTGGAGATAGCTTTGTATACGAAATGTGTGGAAGATGGCTATCAACTAAAGTTCACAAATCAAGCAAAAATCGTTTCGAAACAAAGTGTATGATTGATAAAAACTGTACGTGGCGTATGATTGCAAAAGAGGATAAAAGATTGCAAAATATTTCAAGTTAGGACTTTTATTGACAAACATACATGTTCAAGAACCCAAGTTTTTCCTCACCATAGACAGGCAAACAAAAAGGTGTTGGGTGGTTGTAACATCCTCCATGTCGGGTGAGTGATTGATTTGCAAAGTTTCAACATTTGGGGATTAAAGTAGAATGATTATATAGTTTAAAAATAAAGGTTAGTAAATATGAAATGAAGGTAGGGACCAAATGGTCATTGGTAAGGAAAATTTAATTAAAATAAAATGTTATGGGGTATATATGATACCCACGTGTGATTTTAGGTTCCAGAACCTCCCATTTCTTCTTCATTCTTCCTTACTTTCTCCTCTTACTCCTCCAACCGTGGGCTTGCAATTATAGGTAAGAAACTGAACTTGGTAGTTTCTTGGATTGTTAAGATTGGAAATGAAAGTTGGTATGTTATATAAGATAAAGGAAACCTTATATGACATTAAAACAACAAGATAAGTGATTTAGAGAATGATTTGGAAAATGAGTTTTTAGATGAAATATTGATAGGAATGAGTTTTGATGTTTGAATCAGATTTTTTTGACTTGTCAATAAGCTAATTAAGAAGTATGAAGTAATAGAATTGAAATTAGAACAAGTTGAAATTGGAGTAAGATTCTTCAATTCTATATGGATGAGGAGTTTTCTTAGTTTTAGAGGTATTGAATGGTTAATAATTAGTTTAAGTAAGTGTATGAGAGCTAAGAGTGTTAAAGGGATTGAAATAAGTATGTTTGAGCTGAAATTAGATGATTTCCGGGCTCAAAATAGGATTTCTGGGTTGGGGGAATCGGTACCCATTCAAGGGGAACCGATACCCCTTCAACGAAATGAATTTCCAGAATGCAAGAGGGGAATCGATACCCCCAGGGGGGGAACCGATACCCCCTCATCGTATATGAAATTCCAGATTGCTTGAGGGG